CTAATTTAGAGGTGGGAAGGCATGTAGCACGCATGGGTGAGATTACAACAGCATGACAAATTTTAAAGCCGATTGTAAAAGATTACGTGGATGACCTAGTGATAGAGGGGATTTGTTTTAAAAAAATTGTGTTGAAGAATTAGAGTTTGAGGTTGCGGGCTTGAAGTACCTCGAGGAAAGGTTCAGTGGACACGGTGATGAACCTCCGTGTTACATATGAGGGTCGTTCAAGGATGTCGTGGAATTTTCATCTTGTAAAATATGTCTGCAGCAGAATGACGAAATACGCTTTGTGATATAAAATGACATCGAACTCTGTCATTCAGAGTGTAGGAATAACACTGTATCATATCATAGGTACTTAAGAAGACAGTCTTAGTTGAGCCGATCTGTAGGTTTAATTTGGCATCTTAGATACTTCTTCTGTTCATTACTGCCTTTTGTTACTAATTACCTAGCATTTTTGAGTTACACAGTATGCAACGGAATCAGAATAAGACATCAGGTTTTTTGGTTACCATTTTTCTTTGGAAGTTTGTAGGCTGTGCCCAATATTTACGTATGTGTACTTATTACTTAAATGTGTCTTGTATAGTAAACCTAACCGATTGACTGGATCACACCTGCATTTTTCTTTATCGAAAGTAAAAAATGATAGCGTTGGCAGAAGAATATTTTTTCAGCTGTTGTACTCCTATTTTTCTCAGCAACGAAACGTACCGTTAATTCAACATTTTCTTTGTAGTCATAACACATTTTACTACTGCAAATGGGTTTCCAGAAATCCCTTTAGAAACGTTTTAACAATTTATTTTCTGTTTTATGTCCTTTCTTAGCTTCCGTGCTATACCTTTGCCGTTCGCCTTTCTTTGTCCGCGGTAGTTATGGTTGTAGCATGCATTTATCGAAATATCTGTGGCTACTCGTTCATGATTTACAATTTACATTTCTGCGCAGTATCACAGGAAACATGCAAAGACTTACGTAATTCTCATTAATGTCTGACATGAATCTCACGCATGACCCGGAGTCATTGTTGGAACGCACACTGCCCATAAGTCCTACATTGTCACACAAACTAAAGTTTTAAATTATCCATATTGTGGTTTTCACCAGTAGTTATTCTGTGTTCTTTGCATAATGTTCACGAAATTATGCAAAGTAGCTGTTGCCTATTTCGTAATGTCGGTACTTACTGGCCCCCTGAATTTCGGCTCCAAGTGGCCACCCCGTTCGCCGCCCTACGGTTGATCAGTTATTTGTCGAACGTGAACAGATTTGTGATGTACCAGTGATCGACTTGTTCCTTGCTAACAGGCTGTTATTAATTTTTTAGAATTTTAAAACGCCTTGCATTGGATATGAACAGGATATTGGATATGAGCCTGCAGGTAGTTGAGGCTCAGAATTATGTTTTCATTTTTAACAGAAACTGTAATGAATGAAAATCTGACAAGTGGAAAATGTCAAAGATGATAATAAGGGGAAAGCGTAATTATATTCAACACATTACCGTCGTAGAGAATATTTTCAGGCCGGGAACATCGAAAGTGTAGTGACTTGAGGAATGTGTTTGGATAATGTTAAAATTCTTTTCAAAACAAATTTTGAGATTTGGTGACGTGGGTTCAGTGTCTGCCGCTGGAAGATCTGTGCACAAAGGTGTGTTCTCGCCGTGGTAAACGCATAGGGAATGCCTAAGATATCTTTGCGAGTAATTCGGATAATTTGTTACAGATGCTGACGAAACTTGGCATTATGATTACTTATGAAAGTGATAAGTTATTAGGAAACTGTTTATCGTATAACTTAGGCTTTCTAGACGATAGGGCGGGAAACGACAGATCAGGATTCGCTCTCCATCGACATTTTTCGTCGGATAGGTATTAAAACTTGTCGAAAAATGGAGGCTGCTTTCGTATTACCTCAACACTTAGGAATGCCATTCAGTCAATGGACAAAACGAAAAACTTGTTAGATTATGCTTATGTCGGTGACTGAAAGTAACCTCAGTAATAAATATTTATATACTTTATTCTATAAATAATTCCTTCAATAGTTATTTGCATGCGTACAGGACATTTATACAGCTTTTAATTGAGAACGCGCGCAAGAATTATTTTTTTAGTCTGTGTTTTATCTTATTACATTCACAGAATATTTTAAGTATAAAGTGACCTGGCACTTGGCTGTTCTCGGAGTTAGATAATTTTAATTAAAACGTGGGCACATTTTAGATTTGAAGCTGAAGGTTCAGTCTTGTAGGTGGGTACCAACGTTTCGGAAATAAGTATCGTTTCCATCTTCAGTTGGTTTCTATCTGAAAGACTACAGAACATCGCAAGCCAGAATACCACGATTGACAGACGAACATTCTTGCCAGCGTTCTTTGTATTTTTACTGACAAAATTTCTGCCTGTCTCATATGTAATGAAACGGTGAACGTCGCAACGGCTTTAGGCTTGCATAGGCATAACTGTGTTTAGTAAGACAACCTTCCATACATATCTAAAAAACACACAATATTTCTGTCTGACTTTCAGATTGACATTATATAGTGTCTGGAATAAAGAGATGACGCTGACTGTTCCCCGTCAACATACACGTATATAATCTTGCGCTGTTAATATTGCTGTGGTATTTTATTGTGGTAAACTTTAAATCTCAGTGGTAATTATATGACCCACATGCTATAAGATTTAGTAACTCAGAATTTTGCCCGCAGGGAATGTTAATGCGTTTTATATGATTGTCACAATAAACATCGATTATTCTGTTGCAAAGCTCATGTTCTAGTCACCACTTTCATTAAAGTACTTAGGGTATTCAGAAGGTGCAGATTTGTTATTTTTTGTCCAGACGTGCGAGGAATGAAGTGACTTGAAATTATTCTTGCCAGTTTCTGTGTTAAACATATGAGGGGTGTCAGACTTTATTGAGTAAATTAATGTTAAATTGATCACCCAAGGCATAAGATCTAATCCATAATAGCTGTACGGACAGAAAGATTAAAATGACCGGAAATATGGAATGAATATTTAAAATAATCCCATATGACTAAATTACCCACAAATCTGTTGTTGACAGGCTCTTAGTTTATCTGACAACTATTTTTCAACTGAATAATAGACTTCTATTGTAAAATGAGAAGTTGAGTAGTTACGTATTTGGAAGAAGAAGAATGTGATATTTTTCAAGATACTTTCTTGATAAATTACTGGAAAAACGAAGAAATACACTATAATATTTGGATAGCTAATAATCCGGCCTGTTCAAAACGGATACAAATCTAAGAGTATTATTGGTACAGTAATCTACTCGACGAATGATGTTTTTAAATAAACTTCTCAACAGAATATTATCTGTACTTCGAGTTTTGTATTACTGTACATTTCACAATTCCTGTGTGACTTGACTAGACATGCAGAGGTCAACTGTAGACATACGTTATAGAACGTGAATAATAATTCGTAAGACCAGGCGTTCTTTATGTCAGTAACACTTTTTAGGGTGTTTTTCTTTTCATCAGGCCGTCCGAAAGTTCTAGAATAAATATCAGACTCAAAATCGGTACAGGGCATATGTTTCGTATGAGATTCCTGTGATGTGTGTCTTCACTTGAAGCTGGTGGTAGAACAAAGTTGTCTCAATTTCATCACATTACATCACGTTAACGACATACAAGTTGTTAAAGTATTTTATTTTTCTTTGTGTTGTGCTTTAAGAACACTGTCAATAACTTATAATATATAGCGTTGAGTGGTAGGGTGATTAGTGAGTAATAAATTGGAAAGGACGTGGAAAAGTCAGTTGTGCCCTGATTTTAGATTCTGGAGGGATTGGAGGTATTGAGGAAGCTATGAATACTGTATCCTATATTTGAACCCGGGACATTTCAAATACAGGAGTGCTTATCTCTCAGCCGTGATGAAGGAAGGGACATTTTTCTTTTGTTTGAATACTTGAGTATCATACACACATAAAGTATGAGTAAATATAAATCAGGTTGGGTGTGTTCATTCGAAATTCAGGGAGAACGAGGTAAAGTTTTCAGATCAAAAGCTGCTTTCTGGATTCCGCGTACTATATTCATAGGTCGGTTCCATAATTACCTTTCATCAACGTACCTTGTTTGTTTGTTTGTTTTGATTTAATTGAAAACTGCAGCCCATGAAACATATGAAGTACAGCCATGCAGGATTTACCCAGAGGCACATCCGGTAATCACTCCCTGCTCCTAGAACTGCGGCAACCCCCGAAACTCTCATTCATTACAACAAAAGCAAAATATAAAACATATCTGCAAAAAGTAATTAGTTCATGCAACCAGGCAGTAAATTAGATTTGTATTTCGTAAAATGTAAATCAGCGAAATTATTTCATACGATTTTTGAAAGATAACTCTAACGTTTTCAAAGCGGCCTAACTGTCGTTCACCATACTTTTTTTTCAGTTGATACAGTGGATCGTTATTTGTTAGAACTTAGGTCAAATCGTACTTTTTAAAAGTTACGGCGCTGTTGCCACGTTGTCATGTTATCTAGTTTTTGGGAGTTTCCTGATTTTGTAATTCTTGTGTCTCCTCTATCACCCCTTCTCCCTACACATGTCAACATGGCGGTAACTTTTTGCAGCTTTTGTAAGGAGTGTATCGCCTTATCGTGGATAAACAAATATTCCGACATTTGAGATTAGAAACACGTGATTCCCAACAGTTTTTGCCTCTTTATATGTTCCTGTGGTCCTGGCCTTATGTGACGCTTGTAATTGTTATAACAATAACGGAGTTGCTGTATGATTTGAGATTTTCACAGCGGTGAGTATGAAGATTTCTGCCTTCTGGGTTGTTGCGCTGTCATCGCCCTGATGACGGAAGCAGTATGACCTCCGAAACGTTGGTTAAAATCGACCGTACTACACAGCGCAACAACCCAGAAGACAGAAATCTTCATACTCATCGCCCTGATGATGGAGGCAGTATGACCTCTGAAACGCTGGTAAACATCGACAAGACTCCACAGCGCAACAACCCAGAAGACAGAAATCTTCAAAGGAGTTTCTATTTTCGTCATAAACATACTTGCCTGGAATAACTTCAATTGCTGGACTTCGCAGAACCCTGCAAAAAGCATTCATGTAGAGCCTACAGACGTTTGAGCTGGTTGTAAACGGACTTCGGCTAATCAGTCTTTTTCCTGGTTATCAGTATGTTTAATAAGGTACCATTCAGTAAAAAAAGACACATATTCCTTATATCGAATGATTTTATGTGAAGAATGTTCAAATAAATGTAATCAGAGGTTGTTATGATAGCGGTATCTCACGGCGAAGATAATAATTGGAGAGAATTACGAAACGAAGAAATAACAGTGCACGAATGAGTTTAATCATAGTTCGAAATGGTGCGCGTGGTGATTGTTTATTTGTTTGTGTTCTTATGCTTGACAGTAAAACAGGCGAGGACAGAATACTGCCCCAGTAATTGTACGTGTCTAAGTAAGTCAGGGGCAGAATGTAAGGATCTGTTAATTGATGGAATAATACCAGAAGAGGAGAAAATTAAAACTAATCTAACGAAACTCCACTTCTCTGGAAATAAAATTGGTTTATTAAATGGTTTAATCTTCTCAAAATGGAGTAAATATTACCCGCAGTTTATTAATCTTTCTGGCAATAACATTGTTGAAGTCGAAACATTTGCTTTCAACGGATTTTCAGAACTTGAGGATTTGGATTTGTCAAGAAATAACATATCTGTTATTAATTCAACAGCATTTAGTACTAACCAGAAACTGGTATCTTTGTGGTTGACAAATAACAGTTTAACAGAAATCCATAATTCCACCTTCAGCAACTTAGAAAATCTACGGAACTTGAATTTATCTAACAACATTATTTCTTCAATCGAGCCAGAAACATTTCATAACAATGATAATCTTGAATCTCTGTGCTTGGCCAACAACAGATTAACAATAATAGATCCAGACACATTTCAGAAACAGTCTAATCTTTCATGTCTTGATCTGTCAGGAAACAAAATTCGGCAAATTGAAGGAAGAATATTTTATAACAACACGAAACTTAAATCACTTTTGTTAGCTAACAACGAAATATATTCTTTTAATTTTAAAGAATATCTTCCTTTAAGCATTACGCATAATATCTCAGTTAAATACTTTGAACTGGAACTCTTGGATTTGAGCGGTAATTGTTTATCAGCTCTGGATGACACGTCAGTGAATTTGTTGCGAAATTCTACAGCCTTTGTGGATCTTACAGACAATCCTTGGTTTTGTGACTGTTCCTCATCGAAGAGTGTGTATAAAATATTAAGTGAAGACATAACGTTAAACTGTGCTACTCCAGAGCATTTAAAAGGAAATATATGCCCGGATTTGAAGGATCCTTGTCATAGTGTTACGTCTACTTCAGAAACTGTTAGTAGCTTGGACCATGAAACACAAGTGGGTTCGACAGAAGATGGCGAAAATGAAAAAATTGAAAACATGACTAGATCAGGACCTCTTCTGAGAGCAAATGTTGTTATTTTTGGAATTTATGCATCCACAATTTGCGCGGTAATTATCGTGGTTCTTATTATTACACGCGCTGTTGGTAAACCTGAACCAGATGAGTTTTGGTGGGAGGATAAAGTGGCTAAGAGGAATTCTTAATTGATACCGTTTTAAGACCTTTTATTTCACTTTTCTGTAAAGCGTTTGTTTGTTTGTTACGAAGTGTGAATGACAGATGTTTTTTAGCAGCAGATTCAATACTGCTAATTAATGTATATTGATTGACATGACTGCATGATACAACAGCTGTGTGTCGAGTGGTCCAGTTTATTTTGTGATTAAAGTAACTGTTTAATTGTTAGCATCTCTTTTTTATGGCAGTTTACAAGGAGAAAATAAATTTGGTTATACCGTTCAGCAATATTTTTATAAGATGAGAAACTGTTGGAAATAGCATTCACTGGTGATGCGACCTTAATATTCCGCTACATCCAGAAATTAATTACTGACGTCTTTTCAGTGGATATTCCGAGACTGAAGAAAGCGCAAATTTCAAAATCAAATATGAAAACAGTTCTAAAAACGGAATTGCCTATCAGAACATTTTCCCTGAAAACTGTCAGTAAAAAATCTTTTAAACAACAAACTATTACTTGAAGAAAAGAGGAATTCTGACAACTTGGAGTGTTGTATCCCACGACTTTCTGTCACCGAAGAAGGCTGTCTTCTGGAATGTTGCGCCGTGTATATTGTGCGACGTTTTATACTTGCCTAATGTCCCCATTATTAGGGCGACTTATCACCCTGGATTCGGAAGAGGCAGCAGCCACCTCGGAAGCGACGCTGAATTTCTAAGAGACCATGGCGTAACGTCCCAGAAGACAGGTATCTTCATACTCCCCGCCGTGAGAACCTGAAGTCTCACTTCTCTTACCTTGTTTGACGAAAAATAGTTATCCGAATTTATAAAACATGTCTTGTTGGCGCGACAGTATTTTGTTTTGACATGTTCAGTTCAATGAAGAACGTTCAATCAGAAGCTAGAACGCGTCTTACTTATGAACATACGAATCGGAAAAAGAACCCCTGAGAATGAAAGATCACTTCAGTAAAAGCAATGTCAAATATACTGATATAATGATTTTATCAAAGAATATTATTGTGAACTTGTTTGTAATGGTAAGTTAGGAGCGGCCCGTGAGGCGATTAGCGAGGGTGATGCGGCCCTATGTCTGCAAAAGGTTGGGAACTCTACGTCAGAAATAATCGTGTTTATGTCTTTGGGTATTAGTCCTTCCAAAACACTTTTAAACGAATAGACGGACTGCCGTGAACTTTATGAACATCGTGCAGTTAGATTCTCACCACCTCCACGGTGTCAATTCTCGATCATCAATAATGGCATGGTAATTGTACCAGCTGTTAAGAAAACCGACAGAAATGCCAATTAATGTGTGGTATTGACATTAGTTAACGTTTTTTATTGCTTTATTTTTGTAGAATATGAAATATGAACAGAGCTTCAATACCCTACATCGAGTGGCGCTGGTGTTGATTCAACCTTACAGGCTACCAACGTATCGACCTGTAAAAGAGAGATTGGGGGTATTAATATGTGATGTACAACTTTTTCATTCCGAGTTTCACGAAAATATGTCATTTAATTTGTATAATTTGTCTTGTTTGAATCAGGAAGGTCGCTGGACATTGTACGACTATTTTGTTCTTAAAATCTGTTTGGTGTGTTATGTAAATGAACTCATAGTAAAGGAAACGTCTGTACCATTACATAAATTTACTTTGCCCTTAATAATTCCAGCAAGAAGGATACTCAAAAGACAAAGCTATTGTGGTTTTCTGATGAGATGACTCCCTTCAGTGGTTTAGTCGGGTTTGTCTGTGTATTGCAGGCTTGGTTTTAAAGATTTATTGTGTGGTACTGACGACAATTTTCTGCAGTGTCACACGAAGACAGTACTTTATATAGTGCATATGATACACACCAGAGTCGTAATACCAGTACTTCTGAAGATTGGTATATTTATTGCAGTTTAAAATCGTAATTTGAAACTTGTTTGGATTTAGTACAAATGTTCTTTCTTGAAAGTTGGTAACCTTGTTGTACAGAAACCTGAAGTAGGAGAAGTGTTTAAATAAGATAATACTTGGCATATTGATTTTATTCGCTATCGTTCGTTATCGTCTGCTTTTCCTGTATTAGGAACAAGCTTGTTTGTTCAAAAGTGCAATAACTCTTATCGTTCCAAGTAAAGTAATCGATTTTTAGTATGAAAATTGTGTTCTGTTTTAACATGTCATGAACTGATTTGATGTGACATAACCTAACTTTCCTCCTTGTTACCTTCTTCCTGGTTGTTCACTGTTTCGTTTCTGACACCAAAATGTTCGCAAAGAAACAACAACAACAACAACACCAAACTGCAGGTCTCTGGAAACTTCCCGCAATGCAATTCACCTATCGTTGATGGTGAAACGAATGTCTGGTTCACCTAATCGGATCAGTATAAACACTTTTCGAACGAATTAAAGCGAGCCACCTCTGCCGTGTGACCTGGGGCTTGGACGATCCCTGAACTACCTTTATATTCAGTTTAATTTTTACACCGTATCTCCACAATTATTTTTTAATCAAACATTAGTTGATATCGTTTTTTATGTTTACAGTCTTTCAAAACGCTTTTTTCCTCCGCATTTTTGATACTTCTGTGTAAAAGATTTGTATGCAGAAACACACATTAAAACTGTGAGTAGTTTTTTTGATACTTAGTGGGTTCGGTTGTGTTGTATCTGGTCAATTTTGTTTTGACTAAGGAGATTCTTGGATTTTAGGTGTTTACGACGTTGAGTCTGAAGATTTCTGTCTTCCGGGTTGTTGCACCGTGTAGTCTGGTAGATGTCCACCAACGTTTCAGAGGTCATGCTGCCTCCATAATCAGGGCGATGATGGAAGCAACAGGGACCTCTTTTACCAGACTGCACGGCTCTACAATATAGAAGACAGCCATATTGACATCACTTTTGTGAAAGTTTTATTTTAATGTATATACGATTTTATTTAAACACATGTCTGAAAACAAAATTGTTGCATAATATTTTACGTGGTCCACACTTTCTCATTGCTGTAATTGAAAATTGGCAGTATATTTGATTTCTTTCAGTAATAGTTCTTGTATGTCACTGACGTATCACAGTGTAGTATGTTGCATTTAATTATTAACTGTGACATTACCATGTCATATACTCGTAAAGGATGATGATTTATTTTACCTTTGGTTGTTCTTTTGAAAAAGTTTGATGTGTTTGGAGTGGAATGAAACGTATTCCAGAAATGGACTTAACAAAAGTGACAGTCAGAGTTGTGCGATTTTTACACTTAGCCTACTGAATTTTGTGGGTGCTTCTCCAAACATCGCTCTCATGATTTCATGTTTAGTCAACTCGGAATGAGTACACTGTCGATCTTAGGTGATGGTTGAGACTGTTTCGCAGCAAGAGGAACACAAATACGGAAACAAAATTACTTATAAATTGTAACTTTGATCAGTCTTCTGGTTTCAAGATGGCTCCTAATGACCAATGTTGCCACAGCAAACATTTAAAATATAAGTGTATCTAAATTTAAAGTTAAAGAAACTTAATACGGTATTATAACTCACTTTAGTTTTTTTTAAGTCTTTCCCTGGAATTGGCCTTCAGACGATTCCCGTTTGTTGGTGTTGTCCGGATTGTTATGATAGACTCACCCCAAAACATCAGTCATCAACACAAATATGTCTGTTCTTGTCTCAGACAAACCACTGTTTACTTAATACCGACCGATACAATATGGGGCCTGTTTTTAGCTAATTATGTGGCATTGGACGCTGATAGCGTGTGGGAACAACAATTTTATCGGATCCGCAAGTCTTTGAAAGGCATCTGTTAGAAACAATGTACGATGGATGTTTTCCATCGTATGTTGTGGTAATCGGCTTATGTTCCGGGACTTTCACTTTTTGTCTTGTCCGGAGATAGGGATTAGCTCTATCGATTGGGCCCAACAGAATAGGTTACCTGAAGACGGAGATAGACTACCATCTCCGAAACGTCGTTCAATTTTATTATTTTATTAGACGATGGAAAACATCCAAACAACTTTTTATTTAAATAACGCGCATCGTCACAAACTTTTAGATTTGAGCTTTACTGTACTTACTATACGTTGCGTTACTGATGATAACGGGATCGTTCTGAAGTGCAATTTTTATCTCTCTTGTGGCTGCTAACGTATTTCCGCGTGTGCATTAAAGGTGTTTACTGTGTCTCGTAAGTTTGTGAGGTCGTGTGTCATATTCCCGGTACATACGTTGTTCTTGATGTAATTGAAGATTTCTCCATTTGCTGACCAATGTTAACATTCATTTCCATCGGTAGTCGTGCTTGCTTAATTTGTGTTCTACTTCTGTGTGAATGTGGGGCGTGGTTATGTCCTAGTCCGATTTCAAGTGCTATAAAAGATGGCGTTAAACGTATTCAAGTGAGTGCGCTAGATTTGTCCCAGAACGGCTTGACATACATTTCCAACAGTACATTTTCTGGAATTTACTTGAAACTTGTGAATCTCAGCTTGGCTAACAATTTACTTTTGTGTGTCGGTCAAGATTCGTTCTCGGGGTTGGCAGTACTGGAACGACTGGATCTTTCTGGGAATAATTTGTCACATATTCATGTGAATACATTCAGTTGCAACCTCAAGTTGTATTGGTTGTCATTGGCTGACAACAAACTGTTCACATTGCCTTCTGAGAGCGCATTCATCCACGTATCTGATCTGTCGTTTCTAGATTTGTCTAATTGCAGTGCGGTAAACATTTCTGAACAAAGTTTTAAAGGCATAAACAACGTTATATATTTGAACATGTCTCACAACTCAATTTTTGATATACAACAGAGAAGTTTTCGCCCATTAAATCAACTTAGATGTTTAGACATCAGTTTCAACGATCTGTCATCTTTAGATGTTGATGTTTTCATCAGTAATACAAATATAATTGGTTATAATCCTAGTGAGGGTTGTGAAACATGGTTAGAGACGGAATATACGTTACCAGTCGTTAAACTGAAAGCCGACAATAATCCATGGCATTGTAACTGTGCAATGAAGATGTTATTTGACTACGTTTCTGAACATAATTCATCATCATTAGACTTGACTTGTAAGGAACCTGCAAGGCTTGAAAACACATCCTGGAAGGAGTTAAAACACTTAGATTGTACAACAACTTCTACAGCAACAGCTGTCAGACTGGTGACAGAAGAATCTACAGTTCATATCCGCATGTTTACCCCAACTACTCCAGTCTCCAACCCTTCAGAACAAGAGTTAATAGGTATATTAATATCATTATTGACAGTATTTGTCGTCATATGTGCAGTTCTAGCTGTGTGTGTATATAAGCTTAGAAAACAACAACCACGCATGCGTGTGGACGCAGGAATACGGCGTGAAGAAGAAGAAGAAGAAGAAGAAGAAGAAGAAGAAGAAGAAGAAGAAGAAGAAGAAGAAGAAGAAGAAGAAGAAGAAGAAGAAGAAGAAGAAGAAGAAGAAGAAGAAGAAGAAGAAGAAGAAGAAGATACAGTGCTGTGAAAAAGGTTTGGTCTTGTTGGCGGCGAAAGTTTCCACGTCTGCAGTCGGAGACTGTAATTATTGAAAAATTCTGGGACGAGCCTAGATCAGCCAGTACAAACTGGAATCGGGCCGGACGAACTTGTTTTGATTCCCGACATCGGCATAATTTTTCTTTTTTGCTACAAGCTCTGGGATCCACTTAGCCGTCTGTTCAGTGGCTGCTGGGACCAAGATGGTAGATGAAGTTCTAGAATGCTTGGAGCTGTGCCTCCACGACCCCTCCCTCTGGGCGTTTATGGCGTAATCCGTAATCACAAGTACAATATTACGTGGCGGTTGTTGGAAAGATTAGTAAGAGGAGTGGCAATTCTTGAGTGTATTCCGTGTGTACTTTTTAGCACGCCTGCCATGTATTTGAGAAGTCCCGGGTTTAAATGTCGGGACTGAAACTGGGTATCCTGACTGAGGATTTCTTCAGTTTCACCGGGCATATGCTGAAAGTATCTTAAATCAGGCCACGACCACTTGTTTGCAAATTATTACCAGTTTATTAATGATGCCATTCAGTGCTGTGTAGTCTGAACTGCTGCCAGCGTCGTTAAGAAATGAAATACAATCATTGAATAGAATCATGAATAATTTTTCTTGGTACAAGTAGTTTCTATGACAAAGTCCAACTTGCGATTCTGTGTTGTTTGACCTTAGTCAAGTTAAAATGCACAGTGCAGATTCTTTGTCAATCACCTTGTTTCGAAAGAAATTTTGATTCTTTTTAAGAACAAGGAGTTAATATATATATGTATATAGGTTGTGCAGCACAATGAGCGTGTCTTTTATTCATGATGAAACTTGGACTCACATCTCACCCTGCGGGAAGAACATAAATCCAGGGTCAGAAGATGGCTGTCTTCTGTGTTGTAGCGCCGTGCAGTCTTTTAGAAGTTTACCGTTACCAGTTCTACAATCCAAAAGACAATCATCTTTGGACTCAACGCCGTGAAAACCTGAAATCCTACACGTATTCTGTGTGTTTGGGATAGATTTCTGAGGAAATGTTTAGATTTACGAGAGAAAATTAAGAGGAAGATTAAGATAATGAGTTTATAATTTATTTTATTTATTTCTAGTAATTGTAGCGGTTCGCTCTCTGCTGCTGTGGCATTATGCCATGGCGGTTTCTGCTTTAAGTGGGACACTTTGTCGAAACGTCCAGTATTACAAAAAGAGAATAAAGAAAGAAACATGTAAGTTGTGAGTTTCGAGCTGTTTTATTTTGTGGTCAGTTAAATGGCCGTAGACACAAGCGTTGCTGCTTACGATATGGTGCACGGCAGTGCTTCCCAAACCTGGTTAAATTACTCAAAAAGGGGTAAAAGTGGTTTTTCTTTGGGTAACGACACACCTCGGAATAAACGTTAAAATTTACCGTAAAAGTGTAGAAGTACTCTGAAGAAAGCGATCAGTCATTGTGCACCGATACTCTAAATACGCCTTACGCTTGTTATTAGATTCAATCATTTTTCCCGCGCTCGTATGCACGTGGAGAATTGAAAAAAAATACGTCCACACGTACCGCCCCCCTAAACTAAAGTCATTGACTTTAGTTGTCAAGTCTAAACTGTAGGTGCAGTGTGTGGGTAGCTATGGCGGTGTGAGGTACGTATCGCGCTGGCTGTGTTTATAAATCGTGTAAAGATGGAGCAGTGTCATTATACTCATTAGCTGTGAACTTGGTGATGAAATATTCATTTTGAATTATTCTCAAATTTTTTGTGGTTACTAAAATGTTTAGAGATGTTTAAAATAAAGACATTGCGTCAAACATATTGTTTGCTTCGTATTTTTTACCGGTCTCTCTTCACTTGTCAAATATATTTTTTGTGCAGTTAGTGTTTTACCTACATTGGGTAAAAAGGACTTTCTGATAAGCGGTTTTGGGTAAAGAAGGAAAACGTTTTGGAAGCAGTGGTGTACGGTGACCATTCCTTAAATACTTTAGTTTTCCGGTATCTGATGAAAGAAGTTTCTGGGCTGCATAGTAAGAAACATAACGTAATATATTAATGGGTTTTACAACTTTTCCTTCAAGCGCCAACTCGTAATTAATTTAATTTTAGTTTAATCCCGATGCGAACATGTAGGTGACACTTCCGCTCCTCAAAAGTATTCACCTCGTTTGCCATGTCGTTGTGTACATGAGAATGTAGTTTGCGTTTTCAAGAAGGAGTCCCTCATCTGACATCACATTTAGTAATATCTAAAATTTTAAATATTGATTCTTTAGTCTTCAGCGTTATCCGACATTTTCTACTATCGAACTATTGTTTGCGCTAGCACAATACAACTGTACTCAGATTATAAATCTTATACGTAGGCGTGGCTTCACAGCACAGTTGTCTGGAAGAAACCGCGCGTTTCACGTCTGTTAGTAGAAAAGTTGAGTACTTTTTTCATCAGTCATATATTATCGAACTATTGTTTGGTTTCGTTTGGGTTGGATAATCGGGACTCTACTCTAAATATAAAGGGAATCAGAAGGGAAGGAGGAGACGATTCATAAGGAATCATGTACTGCCCAAGGCATGAGCATTATTTCCAGTGACAATGGTTTATAGTTGGCTTTCTCAGTTCCTATATTGATAATGTTTTCGGTCCACCTTGTGCCTAAATGTGAACTTAGTTCATTGATCCTCTACAGGAATTCTGAAAAAAATACCGGATATTAAAGTTTTCTGTATGTAGTATGTTTTTTTTAAATCGTACGGTATATGAACTCTATAACGTGGTGAAATGAAATATGTACAGAAATATTGCCACAAATACGAACGTGCTATAATCATCGAGGACTTGCCTGCTGGACAGATAAAACATTTATCTCATTGTGCTAATATTTAGATTGTGATAAACTGACACTAAGTAAACTTCAACGTTGGTTGAGTTGTCAGGGTGATGGCAACTTGGGCGTGGTTTGAGGTAATGCCTGATGTGTGAACAGCACTTGCAGCTCAGATAGATACATTTCTGTATCGCGAGTAAAAGTTGTTGGCGTTCGAAATTTATCTCCCATTTAATGTAATATGCGTATGAAATGTATTCAAGTTCGAATGTAGTATTTCTATTGAATATTCTGGTATTAATTTTCTTGGTGAAGGCAGTCATCTCTGTCAAAGGCCATTGTCCAGCTCGATGTGTTTGCAGTACCATCGAAGGAAGTTGTGTGGAGTTATCCCTTACGAAGTTCCCAGAAGAAAGGTTTCCCGGAAGCCTGATGAAACTGGATATCTCTAGAAACTTAATCTCCGAGTTAGGCGAATACACCATCAGGTACTGGATGATTGTTTCATTGAGAAAACTCAACTTATCCAATAACGCTATAAATAGAATCAATGAACAGTCATTGATGGGACAGAGTGGATTAAAGGAATTAGACCTATCAGGGAATGAAATTACCACCATTCCTCCTAAGACGTTCGTCTACCCTCCACATCTGCAGTGGCTTTCCTTGGCTAATAACGGAGAACTTGAAATGCCAGAAGACGCCCCTCTCCTGGAAAGCTCCAGTTTGAAAGTTTTGCATCTGGAACATTGTAATATAGACAGAATATCTGTTATAAATTTACAGAAAGTCATGGAACTTGAGGAATTGTACATTTCCCATAATAGAATTGAAGTTATAGCAACCGAAAATGAAGGAGAAACAAGTGCTTTGAAAAATTTGAAGGTTTTAGACGTAAGTCACAACCAGCTACAGGAACTACCACCAGAAATATTGGCATTGCTTAGCCTTGAAACCTTGGTCCTGAGGAAGAACAAGTTGAAGGTGCTGGGTGAGATGAAATATTCGGGTGAATTTTGTGAAAAAGATTTGTATGCCGAAACACACATTAAAACTGTGAGTAGTTGATAAATGCAGTTATGTTATGTGGTCAGGAGTAGCGCCTGTCAGATGTAAGGAGGAATTAAAACAGTCTAAAGAGATGACAGATGAATTATAAATTTTTCTTGGTGATTGTGTTTGTGCACCTCTGGGCAGGTATATGAGTAAATATTTTAAACTTATGTAAGATGAGAGAAGAATTAAATTACTGTGTTCATATAATTTGAGAAAATAAGCTCTTATGACGTTATTTAGATAAATAATTTAAAAGAGGAATTCCATATTTGTTCCAAAATAACCTAGTTTATTGGCGATAAACCTAATATTGGGTAGGCCTACATTTTATTATTTTCACATTGAAAGACATACACAAATAAACATTAGTTTAAGACATTCTGTGGTGTGCTGCTTGTGTTAGTGTTGTATTTATTAGATCATAATATATGAGTATAATAACGAGTTTAGTGAAGTTTATCGTCATTATATGGCGTTCACAATCTCAGGTTCCGAAGTCCATCCATATTCTGGAATGAAGTGTTATGATCTGCTTCAGTTCACTTAACTTTTCATTCTTACAGTGTAATTCTGCATACGCATGTTGCACAAACCATGACATTTTCTTATTGCTTGTAATATTAAGACTAGTATAAATGAATAGAAAATTGCTGGTTTGTGTGTCGTACATTCTCTAAGTGAAGGTTTCCAAACACATTTCATGGAGCTGGGTTTTACTTTTGAAGTTTCGACTTTAAGGAAATAAATTCCGAAATGACATACATTTATGAGGATTATGAAGAAATATCTGGACCATCTATGTACGCGGTGTTTTGCTTTTGTGCAAAATTAAGACATGGCATGGAACTGAAAGTGATCGATTTAATGTGTCCTGATCAGAACGAAGGGACCGTGTAAAGCGTCTTTTGAGTTGTTCCCCGTCCATCCGTCCGTAGAGCTTTCGCTAGTTACTAGAATGGTATGAAAATGTACATCAGGTAAATAGGACAGTCTAAGAGTGTGAACTGGTTGTATGGATTGT